GACAGTGGAGTACAGTGAGTATCTCAGGCAAGAGTGTGTTGGCTAGCCTGAAAGATCTGGCTTGTCATAGTATGGAAGAGAAAACATTACTTTCTCTTAATGTACTACATGGACATAGACCAGAGAAGAGAAGGGAGAGAAGATTGCAAACACTACTGAGCACATGGTGGTAAGCACTGAGGACACAGAGGATGGCATGCCCTCTGCTGCAACTAGCATGGAGAACAAGAAAATAAATCAGTAACTAGGCCACACAAAGCCATGTATCTTACTGGATGTACATACATACATACCTGGGGCAGGGAAAGAGGAAAAGGGAGACAGAGATGGAGACAGATGGGTGAACAGAGTGGGACAGAGGGAAAGAAGGAAGGTAGATATGCTTGTAAGTTTATAACCACAGCACCTCAGTGATACAAATGAGGAGAGACTGTCACTTCTGCTTGGGGAGCATGGAGTGCACAGAAAAGTGGATTAGTGTATTATGACCAACTTAGAAAGCTTAAACCCTCTCCAAATGAACAAGGCAAAGCATGGACAAGGACAGCAGATGGGCAAGGAACTGCAGACATGAAAGAGAATGAGGAGGGTGGGAAGAGAGTAGTGGTGGCCCAGTGTTCTACACATGCATGTATGTATAGGTATGTGCAGACCCATGTGTGCATCCCTATGAAATGCCATGAGCATGTTAGCATGTGCATGTTGATGAGCATATGGATCACACATACGTACACACATCTCCATTGTTGATAACTCTGGATGCCTTGCTTCCCTCACCTGCTCAAACTTGTCACCTAAGTTCATAGCCAGTCACCTAACATCAACACTTGTGTTTCTTCCTCTTCTACTGAGAGCCACCTGGCCATCTGAGTGGCAGGTAGAAATACCAGCCAACTGTTACCCTCCCAAAGACAGTTCTCAGTCAATGGCTGATGGGAACTGGCATAAGTGCATCTCAGACCCCACCCCTCGGGAAGAAAAATCCTGAGGCATGAAATTTATGCAGGCTTCAAGAGGTTCCTAGACAAGTCTAAGATCTAACTACAATGGCAGTTCATTGAGGTCCTGGTTCATCTGTGTTTCTGTAACAAAACTCCACAGGTTGGGTAATTTATAAAAAAAAACAGAAGCTCAGTTTTCCCAGTTCTTAAGGATAAAAAACACAAAATAAGGCACCCAGTTTGGCTGGTGAGAGCTGCTCTCTGCTCTCAAGATAGTGCCTCTAGAATTCCAGAGAAGAGGAATTCTGTGTGTTCACAAGAGAGGGAAGGGTAAGAGAGGCCAAACTCCTCTCTCCTGAGCACTTACAAATCCTCCCATAATAGTAGTTCCTCGTCACCTAATGGACTCCTCAAGCATCAACTTGACATCACTATCACAATGGAAACTAATTTAAACACATGATTACGGGGCAGGGTGGGAGCAGTGTTCAGGTCCTGGCACTTGGCAGCGTACTCTCAACTGGATACCACCCTTCCTTATCTCATATCCCATATAAACTCATAAACTACCTAAATTAAGCTGTTTGCCTCAGGGTCTGTTTCTAGGAAAATCCAAATTAAGATATGTAAATGTGTTCTCATATTAGTATTTATGTCCATGCTTATATATGTTTGCATAGTTATTTGTATATTCATGCCTATATGTATATATAAACAAACAGACTGCTAAGTATAGACTATGTGCACACAAGTATGTAGCCATATAAATACAGCTGTCCCTCCATATCCATGGGTTATACAACTGTGGGTCCAATCACTCACAGATTCAAGGATGTTTGGGCAACTGTCTATACTGACCAAAGCAAATGTTTTTGTCATTATTCCCCAAATACTAAGGTAAAATAATTATTTACATTATTAGAATATAATGTAATAAAATTTACATATCATTTACATTGATTATCTTCTAATGATTACTTTAGGTATACAGAAGGATGTGTACATATTACATGGGATTACCAGGAAGTTTCACAAATTTACATAAAGGACTTAAACATCTTCTGATTTCAGTATTCGAAGATCTGACATCAATCTCTAACAGATTCTGAGAGAAAACTAATTTGATATACACATTTGAATACACAAGTATACTTGCGTTATTCTATATGCAACATTAGTACTTTCCTTTTTGTTAAAACACATGGTCCTCCTCTGTAGGGGAAGCCTATAGACTAACACTCTGAATGCTCTGAATGCCCTTCCAACTTCCACTCCCTACCCCATCCTCTCTATCCATAGAACCACTTCAGTCAAATGTTCTATCTCCCAGTGGTTCTGGCTAAAACCTTCCAGCTCTACCCTCTTTGTTAAGAGGTTTCCTCAATTCTTTGTACACCTTATACATCAAAATCCCCAGCCTAGCTGCCGGACAAACCTGGCAAGCAATAGAGTGAGACCACAGGTTTGAAACATTACACTCACAAGCAAAAATCCCCACAGCCTCCATACCCAGGACAGGGCCATCAACTACCCAGACATCACTTTCTCTTTCATGTTTTAAAAGTTAACTATATGAAAAGATAGCAAAAGAGAAGACTATTTTAGAGCCAGGCCATTTCAACAATGAGCCATTGAAACAATTTTGGGGCGGGGGGGTGGAGGGGGGTTTCAAGACAGGGTTTCTCTGTGTAGCTTTGGAGCCTATCCTGGCACTCGCTCTGGAGACCAGGCTGGCCTGGAACTCACAGAGATCTGCCTGCCTCTGCCTCCCGAGTGCTGGGATTAAAGGTGTGTGCTACCAACGCCTGGCCGGGAACAAATGTTTATATCTCAAACTTTTATTCATGAAAAGAATAACTTCTCTAAGCTTCCCAGTATCCTAGCACACAACACACCCTATCCTTGAGCAGAAGTCCATCCTTTTAGTCTAATAGTCTAGACCAGTGGTTCTCAACCATCCTGATGTTGAGGCCCTTTAATACAGTTCCTAATGTTGTGGTGACCCCCAACATAAACTCATTTCCTTGCTACTTCATAATTGTAATTTTGCTACTGTCATGAAGTGTAATGTAAATATCTGATAGGTAGGATATCTTATGCATAACCCCAAGGGGTTGCCACCCACAGGTATAGAACCACTGGTAAAGACTGGCAATGAGCAACATAACCAAAGCCACTAGTTGCACTTTAAGTGATGAGGACAGCAAGAAGAACTAGGAGAAGCTAGGACCACAGGCGCACAGGAAACTGGATTAATGTGCAGGAAGGGATAGACATTACAGGTCTGAGAGAAGCAGCTAAGCAGGAAAGCTTGCACAAACGTCAACTGGGAATGAAAACAGGACTTCCCGGGCCTGAACTTGGCCTTCAGTGTGTTCCATTCTGAACACACTGAATTTAAAAACACACAAAAGCCACCTGCCTTGGTATATTTAAGTCTGTGACCCCTGTACACATAAACCCATTCCCAGTCCCAGTTCTGGAAACTTCTGACTGACATCATTGGCAACACTACAGAGGTTTCTCATCCTTCTTGGCACCTGCCAATCTTCTTCCCCATGGAGGGATGACGGCCTGACTTTGGCACACCTTTTGCAGAAAGACAATTTGTTGGTACATATATTTACAATTTCCTATTGAAATCTGCCTTGTTTTTCCTTCACCTACTCCCAAAAGATTCACACACAGAGAAAGGAAGGAAGAAAGGAAGGAAGGAAGGAAGGAAGGAAGGAAGGAAGGAAGGAAGGAAGGGTTACATATTCCAATATGGAAGGAAAAAAAATCTAGAAATGGGCAATTTTTAACAAAGTAGGAATTGCTAACATAAAAAATAAGATAAAGCTGTTCACCCATAGTAAGAGAGAAAACAGAAAACTGAGGTAACATACAAGCTCATGTTTGTTTTCATTAGGAGGTTTCTTTTGTGTTTGTAATACATTACATAAATCCTCTGTTGTTTTCTATCTAGATATATGCACACGCATCCCTTTTCTTCCCTTGCTCCCTTCCTCTCTTCCCTCCTTTGCTCACCCTCCATACAGACACCATCACATGAACCTGGTCATGTTTACTGTGATGTGGACTCAAGGTTGAGTGAACATGTGCTGCAGGAGGAAACTACTAGAAAAGACTTACGGGGACCTGTGACTCCCAGGGCTTCACATGCCTCTGCTTTAGTAAGACCAGGATGATAGCATTCCTTGTGTTTTGATATGCAAAGATGCATCTGTGTCACCAGTGACTTGGGAAATGTATGCTCTCACAGTATATGCTGTAATACTAACAGGATATGCTGTAGTAGCTCCTACTGTAAATAACCTGGAGCAATGACTGAACACCAGCCACCCCATCACCACCAGTTTCACATCTGATTTAAAATATGTTAATTTAAATATTCCCTTTAAAATCAGAGCACAGGCCAAACTCTGTTCCTTTCTTATACATGTTTGAAAAAATGGGTCTATGGGTGTCTCCTTAATTCCTACCCTACCGCAAACCTGTTATTTATGAGCAATTTCCACCCATCTATTCCCTACGACCATAGGTGACCCGCCTTCACCTCGCCCCAGAGTACATTGAGATGAACTGCTTGCTCTCATTAACTTCCCACTTTGACTGCACCGAAATTAAGCTACCATGGCAAGAAGCCCCTCTGTTCCATGAAACAGAAGACCTATGGTCTTCCCCAAATGGGGAAGTCCCCTCTATTTGAGGGGACAGTGGATCTTATTGAAAAGCCAGTTTGCTCTCCAGAGGATACTGTGCAAGGTCTGCAGACAGTGATGAACATACAGTTGAGGATCTAGTAGGGCAAGCCCAGGGAGGTTGCTGAACATTCTAGAATCAATGCATGCAAATGGGCCCATAGCACAGAATCCCAGGCCAGAAGGTCAACATCACCAGAATTAAGAAGCTTTCCTCACTTGGAGTGGGTTTTTCCTTGGCTCTGCATCATAAGAGCTTAATGAGGAGAGATTATAAAAAATGAGTCTGCTCTTAGTGAAGGCAAGAAGCAGTCAGCCCTAAGGATCATATGAGCAATGCCGTGACAGTACTTACAACACAGGAACATTTGATGCATTTGCTTCCTTCCGGATGAAATTCTTCTCCTTCTTGGTACTGCACACCTTCGAACACACAGCCTGGAAAGCAAAGAAGTTGATTAGGACAACAAACATCATTCAGCTTGGCATAATCCTTTCAGTTCTGGTTACCATCTCCCAGCTATACCTCTCCCTCTACCCAGTATAGATCCCCTTTGATCACCATATCATGCACAATTAAAAGGGGAAAATGATACAATTCAAATGATTGGCATGTTGGCACAGGTCCAGAAACCCTGAAGATGATAGAAAACAAATGACAGTGGAACTTGAGTCAGCCCATGGCCAGCAGATGCGCTACAGTGAGTCATGCAGTGAGACTCCGGAGCTACAGCAGGATCGTGCTGACCACAGCCAGGGGGATGAACTCCAGAGAGGTCAGAAGAGGCCAAAGCAAGGCCGAGGGAGGGAAGGTTGAGATGAGAAAGAGCAGATGCCTCTGTAGGCGGCCACTTGAGTACCAGGAATTACTCAGCCTGTTCCTGGCCCAGCATGCCCCTGGTTCCCACATCACCTCCAGAACTGCAGAAAAAGAGCTCTGTCTCTCTTCCCACAGACGAGAAAAACACAGCAGGTGACTGAGTTGTAATATGAACTTGGTTTTGATACATGTGATACCTATACAGAGGGTCATGCACAAAGCCAATAACGGGCTGGGACAAGACAGGATGTGCCCTATGGTTTTCTGCTCCACTGTGGCCCCTGCCAAGTTTAGCTCATAAAGGTTCTCAACCTGCAGGGGATATTTCAGGGCAGTACTTACTCTAAGTGACCTGAAACACAGGCTAGCAAGCAACTGGGTCACACCAACCATAGGACTGTCAGCGAATGGCAAAACCACTTCCTTCAAGACTTTCCTCATAGTAGACAACATTTTAAGTAGAACTACCTATAGTAGGCTTTTTGAAGGACAGGGAAGTTCTCAAGACAATGTCGGAAGAAATCACCAAATGCTCAAAGGAACTAGTTCCTGATGAAGCAGAATGAACATTTCTCTAGCTGACCTGGCTCCTGGTCCTATCCATCTTCACATTAAATGTGACTCTTCGCTCAATAGAAAGATACTAAGACAAGTGCTGAATCCATAATACAGAAGCCAAGTAAAGGCAGATTCAAGTAACGTCCCAGGGATAAGATCTCTTTTTATAGCTATACCCATAGCTAACAATCAGCTGCCTTCTCACTGTTCTGGATGATTTTGAAGATCTTGGTATCATGGCCTTCCCTGTGGCTGTGTCTCAGCACCATTCATAATGACAGATGCTTAATGGCCTATTTCCAAAGGACATTTCCAACAAAGTGTCTTCAATCCTTTCCCATGTTTACACCTCTGACTCTGTCATATGGCTTGCCACAAAAATCTATATTTGACAACTTAAACAACAGAATTTAAAATAATTCTATTTCCATCACCCCCACTATCCTTGAGCAATACTCAGACTACAATGAAGGAGCAGACAACCAAGAATGCCCTAAAATTCATTTCAGGAGGAAACTGCCCACATGTTTGTCATTATAGAGAATGCCAGTCTGATCAATGGCAGATGCCAGTCCTTCTGAATTACCAGGGTAAACACCCCAAGGCGTTCCTTGACTGTCCCTATCTAGACTCGGCTGAGGCTTCCCTTCAAGACAAAGAATGAGACATTCCAGAGATGGCTCCTTTTGAATCTTCCAATTTGCATCCCAAACAGGGTCACTGGAACTCAAGAGAGGGAGCAGAGCTGATAGCTAATCGCATCCCCAAGGCTCCAAGCTTGTCCAGTCAGAGGAAGTATGTGGCACTGCCATGATCATTTTTAAATATTTGCCTTCCAGGGTACCAGAAAATAAATAGAATATTTCTCTAGGTGTTGATGGGGTAGGTTGTATAATTTGATGATGAGGAAAGAGAAGAAATCTGATTCCAGCCCCATCCACAGCCCTTGATCACCAAGGCCCTCATAGTCACTGGGTCTGATTTCTTGTTGTCCTATGGACAACACCTTGTACATCCTTGGATGGTAGTGAGGACTGTAATGTGTACAAGAAAGGAGAGAGCTCAACTCTCTCTCCTTTCTGGGAACTGAACCAAGGCACCACTGCCTTGAAGATTCAAATAAAATTTAGTAGGATGCAGCCTAGATATTAACATTTCATTTTCCACATACAGTCTGAAGAACTCACAATTTGACTTAATCTCCTGTAAGTATCAAAGGACATGTTACCACAGTTCAAGTCACCTAGCACACTCAAAAGGAAAAGTACTCCAACAGACCCCTGATCGATACAAAGCAGTTGGCCCATGGAATTGGTTCCCTTCTCATCATTTTTTTTTCACCTGTGTAAACTGAGGAACTATCAGTTTCACAGAGACCCTGAAGTGAAACAAAGCTAAATAAAACCTCTCAGGACATGAAGAAAATGAGAAGCAAGGGAAACTGCCTGTGGGTTTTCAGTGGGACTGACATGTAGAAGAAGAGAGCCTGAGACCATCTCTGAAGAACACCCCACATGAGGCTTCTGTTATCTACAAAGAGCAGCCGGTCCTTTGCATGCTATCCCACAAAGCAAAGACTAGTAGTTGTTGAGTATCTTCACTAGTGAGGAAACACAAAACACCTGTCTGAGACTATTGGCCACAGGCTTAAGAGATCAGGAAAAACATCTCACACCTCAAAATCCCCAGGCTCTCAAGAGAGAGCAAGAGAAGACACAGGAGCCCTCCCCACCACCAACAGAAAAGGCTTCCTCTGCTGTCGGCTTGGAAGAAGGACCCTCTCCAGAAAGACAGAGGGCCCAACTTGTTAAACCACACTGAAAGCTGAAACCGACAAAACTCCAAACTAAAGTCATGTGGGACACAGCTCTCAGTTTTCAGAAAACATCTGGTCACCTCATCATCGTGACATGCTCTGGCTGAGGTATTGCAATAGGAAACAGTAAAAAAAAATTCTGAATGCAAGCAGAACCACAGTCCTTCCTTCCAAAACAAGCACTACCTGTGCTCTGCGTGGAAAGCAGGCCTCTGAGCTTGGGGATTCCACCAGCCAAGACCTACAGCGCATAATCCCAGTCATGCTGGGCACACAAGAGCCAGTCAGATACCGCCACTCAAAGGAGTTTCCTCTCCAAGATCTTCACGGACACAAATGTAAAGTGGAGTCCAGTCTGGGAAGGTAGGGAGGGGCGCATTGTTGACAGAACACAGCAACCTCCATAGCAGTGCAGCACCAGGAAGCTGATCAGCTTCCCTTTCTCGAGCATTACCTGGACAAGTGGGGCAGCAGACTCCTGGATGATCTGAGGGGTTTTTACAATGAACAACACAGCGCACCTCAGACTCTGTGACAACACCTTCCTGAAAAACAGAATGTTCGGAGTAAGCCCAGAATTGCCACTTGAGTTACTTCTTTGGGGGAAGAAGCAGGAGGAATCCAAACCCCCAAAGTTCAGGATTGGCTGTTGGGCTTCAAAGGTAGTGACACAAACGAAGCAAGACCCAGCTCATCGGAATGGATGCTTTAGACCTTGATACACATGTCCTGGTCTGTTATTTGTCACATCCTTGTACTTGGCCTTTGGTCCTGCGTTTTTCCCTTTGAATCTACTTAAGAGGACCTCCTTGCTGGCAGTGAGCCTCTGACATCTTGGCTGGGCATTCATAATTGTTTTAAGTCGTTTTAGTGACTGTTCCCTAACACTGTTACTATACTGCCAGCCCTTAACTTCAGAGGAGGATCAGCATGCCTAGACTTGTGTCCAGAAAAAAAAAAAAAAAAAAAAAAAAAAAAAAAAAAAAAAAAAACAACTCTGGAAAAATCCTTAGCACCTTCTAGAAAGAGTTGCCAGATTTACACTCTTAAAAGAGCCACATGGCCTCAGGTAGAACCTGGGACTCAGTTTCCTCCAGCAGTAAATGAAAAGATTCCAGAAAATTATTTTTAAGTTCGTCTTAAGTATGTCAAAACAGATAGTGTAGGTTCAAACAATGAAATCAGGAGCAGCAACAGCAAACTGATCTTGGGGCTATGATATCTAAATGATTATTGAAGCTTTTGGGTTTTGATTGTATGTTGCTTTTTTGAAATGGGGTCTCAAGAATCCCAAGGTGGTCTTGAACTGACAGAAAAATGACCTTGAACTTCTGATTCTTCTTCTTCCACCTCCTGAGTGCTGGGATTACAGGTGTGCACCACCCTGACAAGTTTCAGGGGAAAGACTTTTGAAATCACTTTTTAGGGTCAGATTTAGTTGAGTTCCCTCTCTATTCTCTACTCATTTTTTCTTAATGAATTTGTGTTCTTATTAGTTTGATTTGAGTTTGAATCAAGAGTAGCAAAGGCTGAAAGTCTACACCACACTCTCACAACAAAGCCATTTTCTACAATGTGTCTGCACTATAGCATTCAACTTAACAATGGACATTGTATACTAAATATTTTTATATCATGCCAGGCTTGGAGGCAGCACTACTAGGTAAATTTATTACATCGTTTATCACACTTGGGGGAAGGGATCCACAAATACCATCAATAGACATTTAAAAATGTGTTCTTTAGTGCTATGGGCTAGGGTCAATTTTCCTTCAGTAGCTGCCATCTAAATGGAGACCTGTGGGTAATTCTCAGCATGAATTTCTCATATGTGACCTCCAGATTTTTCTCTTCTAGTTAGAAATTAGAAGTGGGAAAAAATGTAAACCTCTCATCATTAGAACTCCTTTGGCACAGAATATAAGAAATACATAGAATTCCTCGCAAATGGAAACAGACAAGATCTTTAGACTTGTTGTCACCTGTCCAGTACCTAGTTGTAACCTATGGCACATTGACATCTGCTAGAAGCATTTTTATGACTCTCTCTCTCTCTCTCTCTCTCTCTCTCTCTCTCTCTCTCTCTCTCTCTCTCCCTCTCTCTCTCTCTCACCTCTCTCTCTCTCTCTCTCTCTCTCTCTCTCTCTCTCTCTCTCCCAACTCTCTCTGTCTCCCTTTTACAGAGATGTAGAGAGCACACCGACCCCTCTGTTACCAATTTTGTGCCCTGGAGAGAGACTAGAACTTTGCTTACTTCATAGCAACAGGACATGCTGAGAAAGTGCCAGAAAGGATCTTGCCTGCATCCTTCTATGAGTATGATGTCTCATTCCCTAAAGAAGGGAGTAGGAGGCAGGAGCAGGAAGACATCTGCTGCAAGTGTACCCCAGAGGATTGCTTTCCTGCTTGTTGAATGAGAGGACGTCATGAGGTGTAAGTGAAGAGAAGGCATAAAAGGTGAGATTCACCTTTGGAAGTGAACATGCCCTCCATTTGGGTTTGTTTCTGCAGCACTCTGCACTGGAGCATTTCTTCACCTCAAGTACTGATGTGCTACTCCCCGCCCAGCCACTCTGAGCTCCACTGATAGGCAGGATGATAGACAATAGAGGGGACTCTTCATGAAAGGAAATACTAATGGTAATAAGTTTGAAGTTATTTAAAATTAGATGAGCATTCCTTTTTTGAGCAGAAGAAGCATAAATTTATTAAGGGAAAATGAGGAAGAACTCCAAAGAGTGGGAGGGACTTCAAGAAAAGTATATTCTACAATGATTGTATTTTTAAATTTACTGTGTATGTGTGTGCATGACATATGTGTAGGGACATGTATGCTGGAGGCCAAATGTGAAGGCCAGAGGACAGCTTTGGAGTCTGTTCTCTCCTTCTGTGTTACTGTGAGAGTTCTGAGGATTGAACTCAGGCCACAGGACTTGCATGGGAAGCACAAACCCCATCTCCCTCTGAGCTACATCACCAGCCCCTGACTGTCATTTTTGATATAGTATTTCTATACAATAAGGAAAAGAGTGCAATAATTTTGGCTGTTTGTTTCCCTTTGGTTCATCTGGTCTAACAGCAGACCCATGTAGAGCAACTGTTCCCTGGGGAATTGAACAAAGATCAACAATGGACTCCATACTTGCTGAACCTGTGGTTCTTAAACTGGTTAGGTTAAATCCCTAAGCACATTAATAAACTGCTTCGTTTGACTACAGTTTACAACACAGCCCCAGCTCAAAATCTTTTTCAATCCAAGGACAGAGTATCTCATCTGAAAGAACCTCTTTTCTGCTAATAAGAATTCATGTTTTGCTCAAATACGATTTCACAGGAAGACATGAGCTGCATCAAGGACACACGCCATCTTCCAGGTGCTTTCCAACCTCATGTAATGGTGGTGGACAATTCTGCTGTGTGTTTCTAGAAACAAGTCCTATTCAATACCTACTGTGTACCTGTCTCGTTCTGGCTAATGTCACAACAAATAATACATGGATAGAGTTGTTCTCCCCTTCTCTCTTTCTGGACTTTCGGGGGATTCACTCAGTGTTATCTGAAAGTGGTGGCTGAGGAGAATAGATTACCTGGCACTGCCGCAGGATGCATGGCTCACCCGGGCTTTGCCATCTGAAGGAGCTGTTGTAGGTTCTTCCTTCATGGGTACAACCTAGAGAGAAAGAGAAGAGGCCAAGGATGAGTGTGACTCCTCTCTCTTTGGAACAGAATTATGAATGTCATGTAAGCCAAGGATAGCTCCTTGGCAATGTTTTCTTTCCTACAACTCACATATATCTGCTTGGCACACAATCACATTAAATTTTTCACTATTGCATGCATTAACCTCACAGTCTATATTTTCAGATAGAAAACCATGCACAATTCTCTCAATTATTGTTTTATTTATGTTTCATCAAATATGAGAATACCATATCTAAAAATATTTCAGTGAAAGGAGATTTGGCAGGAGAGTATAAGAATTCAAAATTGCTGAATATTAAGACAGCAGTATAAAACATGGTGGGAAATATAAAAGCATGAATTAAAATATAGAGGTTGATTACAAAATTCTAGTTAACTATGACCTTCACTAAATCAAACTTTCCAAGGCTTACTTCCCACCTCAAAGAGCTATGCCTTCTTATTTCAGTTTTGTTTTACTCTTAGGTAATAAATTTAAACAAATCTGAAATTACTAATGCATGGGTTATTACATGCTGAGCTAATAGGAAAAACAAAATTCATACTAATTCATTGGCAAAAACAGAAGTTAGAGGCTAGAGATCCTCAAAAGAGAACAGTTTGGCTTAAGTCCCTGGGAAGAAGCCAAAGAAGTAACAGAAAAACATAATTCATTCAATCTGGATTCAGAGTTTACCAATAGCATCCTCTGTTCTGTGGCCTATATTATCTGTTGAGATGCACCTGGATACACCTATCGTCACTGTCTCCTTAGAAGCCCACAAGACGAAAGATTTATCAAAATACAGAAAAGGGATTTACCAAAATACAGAAAAGGGAGAACATGCACCATGAGAGGATTGTTACAAAATAAAAGGTCTGCCACTCTGCTACAGGGGTGAACTTCTGATAACCTACTCAGCCTCACCTCCATCAGTTGATCTTATTCAAGAGAAAGAACTTACCTTCTTCCAGGAGTTCTTTCAAATAGCACCTTGGCAAACGGTTCTTAATTCATAGTAACAGAATAACAAAGGGCTTGTGGAATTTTCAACAGATGTTTTCATAAACTCAGATCCCTGACCTGAATTTCCAAGCATCACGAATGACTGAGAAAGCTTAGTGATTCTTTGCTCTCCGGTGCCTCCACATCAAATGACTAAACTGCACAGCTGATTGGAAACATAAATGGGCATTGCTTTCACTATATATTTTTTAATTTCCTCTGCATGGAGTGTAACAGAGATAAAGTGTTCAACCACAAGAACCTTTAGCAAACTGCAACTACATATGCCAAACCAGGGATGAATACAGAACATTTTCAACAATGAAAAGCAATATAGAATGATTTGGGCTAGCATAAATCTCACCGAGCAAACACATGAGCAACATGCCATGTGCCTGTCTGATCTACTAACACAGGTTTGTTTGAACAATAAATAACTTGTTCCAAGTGATGGAAGCAGGGAAATCAGAGAACCAAATCTCATTCATGCTAAATCCAAGCAAATACAAAACGCCTGCCAAGTGGGCCAGTACAGAGGAGTTTTCTGGGTGTGCTATATATTTTCATCATCTGGATTAAAAAATGTAAAGACAGGGAGATATTTTTTTGCTACTAATAGAGCAACTGGTGATCTTTCTTGCCTTTCTGCGTGGAGGGAGGAAACCTACTAGAAAGGTCTCACAACCTTGGGAGGAAGTGCGGGCCAGGAAATCCGCCCCCCTCAGCAATACCAGGCCATGTTCCGAGAGCTCCAGGTAGAACATGAGGCTGTACAGAGTATTCTGCTCTGAGAGGGACAGAGGCATCAGAACAAGCTGTCCAGCACGCAGGGAACACAACAGTGTCTTGGCTTCAGACAACTCTGTGGGGAGCCTGGTTTCTCCACTGTTTTTGAACACGCAAAGACAAACTGGGCAATAACATTAGAAAATTAGACCAAGGTCAGATTGTGAGGATCAGTGTTGAAGTTCCCTGTTTACATGTCAGTCTACAGTGCCTGAGTCCACACACTAGATGTCTCTGAATGATGGATGAAGCTGGACAACTGAGTAGGCTCAAAGCATTTGGAAAACTCTAGCAAATACAGCTCATCCCTTTTCCCTCTTCACCTGCTCTCACTAGCCTTAGCTGACTCCAGAGACTTTGGCACACTGGCATTAGATACACCATTTCACAGGCAAGAGATTCTTGGGAATATGATTACTAAAGACAAGATCTTATTGCTCTTTGGGGTCCAGTTCTAAGACAAACATGTTTTCTTAGAGCAAAACACCAATGAGCTATGTGAAAACGCCAAGAAAACCTTAATGTTACCCAGAAATAAATTATCTCCTCCTGAGAAAATTTCTATACCAAATTCTATTGCCAGAAAATTTGTGCTAATGAAAGAATAGTCAGGCATTCTCTTGCCTTCCACCCAATTTAAAGCTTCATGTGACAAACTGTACTACTGTCTCTTATTGGACAGAATAGAAAAGCAGAGAAAAATTCCTGTCACACTTCCACAAAGGGCTTCTCTACTACCCGTAGTGAAAGAACACTTTGTTTTGTTTTGTCTCCAATTCAGACCAATACTTTCATAAAACATTAATAAAAATGCCTTATTAGAAAAATTACATTTTAAAGATTGCACAGTATGTGAGTTTTTTTTAATTATTACATGAAAAATGCATAGAATCCCTGCTGAGTTACAGTCAATGTTTCCAAATGTTGATTATACTTACATTTTTTGTCTATGGACCACTGGGGGCCTACAGGGCATGTTCTGAGTATTAGTGGGAAATATGTCATGAGTATAGGGAACAAACAGAAAAAACAATAAAAATTTCTCAAGTTCTGATATTTAGAACTAGAGGCAAACTTACAGATAACACAGCTTGTCGCCTTCATCTTTCAAATGAGAAAATTTACACAGAAAGTCCAAAGTGACACTCCAAATAAGAGTGAATTAGTGTGGAACAAACTAGAATCCAGGTTCCAGTTGAAATCCAGGTTTTCCACAGCCAGGTCTAAACTTGTAATATTCTGGGCTGAGGAATTAATTGCCCAGGAAAAGAAAAAGTAAATGTCCTTCTCATAAAATTAAGTGTAATTTAAACAGTCATTAAACAAAAGAGAGAAGTCAGTAGAAGAACACAGAGGAAACACTCAGAAATCAATAAAGTAGCTTTTCTTTCTTGACATATGAATTTTGTAGAAGGAAATTTTTAAGTATCCATTAGTTTTCTCAGACAATGAACAGTTTTTGGGATACCACAAAATTTTGAATAAAAATATCAGGACTGCAGTGGGTCAAAGTGATTATTTTCTGATAAAAATCACTACAATACATTTAAACCTCTACAGTACTCTTCACCACCCCTACCCAAGAGAATTCTGGCACCATTAAGAGACACTGTTACTTGTAGCAACGGGGAATGGGAGAAGCTGCCGGTGTCTTATGGACACAGATCTCAGAGAGAGCCTAATACCCACAGGGCACAACACATAATTAACCAAGGCAAAGGTCAAATATACAAAGATTGAGAAACCTCAGTTTAAACCATCATGCATAGATCATATGTTCTTTATGTCTAAAATAATATAAAATGAGCCTAATCCATCAGTTCTCAAATATGGGCCACGTCCCCCAAAGACCATTGCAAAAGACAGATGTTACACTATGATTCATCATAGTAGCAAAATTACAGTTGTGAAGCAGCAGCAAAGATAATTTTACGGCTGGGGGTCACCACAACATGAGGAACTGTATTAACAGGTCACAGCATTAGGAAGGTTAGAACCTGGCCTAACTGACCTAACTAGTCACTTTCCCTTTGGGTGTGCTTTAGCTCTTTTAGTAGTAAGTATTTTCAGAGTGAGGAAAAACTTCATAGTACTTCCTTTCTCCTCACACAGACACTTGTAAGGAAGCTCTGCCTCATCATCCAGTCAACTTAGAACACACATGGCAATGGGAACAGGAAGAACATAAATTAATTAAATCCACAGTTAAGCAATAAAACTCATTTTTCCTATTAGTTGCAACTTTTTTCAGTGGCCACACTGTTCCAAGGGAGAGAGAATACCACATTTTCATCATTGTTATTAAAACAACTGTTAAAAATCACCAAAGCTATAAAAATGGCCCTGGACCTGGAAAGAGCTATGACTGCTTTCTCCATCCTTATCTAAGGTCCTCTCACTGTCCATGCTAACTATGAGCAGAGAGGCAGGTCTTCCCATTGCTGTTAATGTACCCCTAGCACCTTAAGCACTTTCCTGTTTCAGTCTCTCTCTCTCATTCCTAGAACTCCACAGAGGTTCCCAGAGTCACTTTCACAATGAAATTGACTGCTACTGAATACAGATCCTCGAGCCTCACCCAAGGATGCCCAATTCCACCAACCAAGTGAAACCTGCCTTTCTCTTGCAGACATCACTGTGCAATGTTGACTGTGCTTTCCTTCTCCAACACTCCCCAGTTACCTTTACAGCCACTTCTCTCTAGCCTCTGCTTAGGTACCAGTTCTCATGACTTAGACTGTCCTGACAGGCTCCCTGACCGAGTCTCCTGGCTGTCATCAGCCCCTTTTAAAGCCATCTTCAACAGATGTCAGTGTTCAAACTTTCAAGTTGAAACACTGACACTTGATGGACCCTACTCAACCTGGCTGAAGTACAGAGGTGAACTGCCTCCCCAATTCCTCCAAATGTGGCCAGAAGAGCTCATTCTGTGACAATCACGTGGCCTTCTCATCCTGGGAAACCTACGTTTCATCCACTTTTTTGCCTGTACCAACGGCACACGGGTGATTCAAGGGTCAAACTCACTGCATCTAGGGAGCCAGTCTTGAAACTCACCTGCATAAGGTGGGCCTCTGATGGGGAATGTACTGTGTATGTTCATCTTATTGATTATTGAATAAAGTACTGTTTAGCCAATGAGACAGCAAGTTAGACAGGACTAGGAGTCAAAGAGGATTCTGGGAACTGTAGTAGAA